AGTGCTGAAAACCAGGCATGTTTGTTATTTTATATCATTCAGCCTTTACTGTCAGTGTTTATACCGGTACTCAAACTTCCCTGATTTAATGTTAAGTACTGATAAGATAACTGTCCTGGGGACTTTAATTCATAATAACATGGAAAGTAACAGCTTAAATGTAGCATTTAATGCTATTTAATGCTATAAAGCTCAACATATCTGTACAGCTATCCATCTTTATGATCATACTTTGAACCTTGTGTTGTTGTATGGCATTCATTTTTAAGAAATAATAGCATCTCTTCATAACTACGTCTAGCCTCATTATCTATTGATAACCTGTAACTTAGCTTAACCAAACTCCTCATCACAGAAAAATACAATTCTATTACAGAGGATCCTTTTCAGACATGGGATCTAACAACTTCTAAAGAATCTGCTTTATTCATCTTTATTTTCTCAGTATTGTGGGAAAAACACTGCAGAGGGGCTTGTGTCTGTACAGATCTCAGTGTTGCATTAAATACAGTCGAGCATAATATTCTTTTAGAAAGGTGGGAGTGTGCTGAGGGGATCCAGGTAACAGCATTTGGCTGGTTTAAATAGGATTCTCCAGCAAATTTCAGTTTCTCAATATTTAAGATAAATCTTCAACTCCAGGGTTACTTGTGGAATACCACAGGATTTAGTGCTTGTGATAAATATTTTCACTCTGCATATGTGCTTCCAGTGGGTAAAATTATCACACAGGAACTACTATGCTGATAAAACTTTGCTATGTTTGTCCATAAATTCTATTGGATCCAATCAGTACCAGCTTGTCTTGAAGACATCAAAACCTGGATGACTTTAGATTTTCTGCTTTAAAGTAAGACAAGACAGCAATAGTCAGTTTTGACAAGGACAGAAGCATCAATGCTGCCCACCCAGCATTAACCCCACCCAACTTTATCAGAAGATGGGGTGGGACTTGTGGATATGTATATAACTAGCTGAGATCTTGCATCTGCAGATGTACTAGCATTGCTGTGGGTGAACTGCTGGGGGAAATGACGGAACGTGTGTTTGCCTAGCTCTTATTATAATTTAAATTTATTTATAATACAATTTTTTACAGCATTGGACAACATCACTTAATTTTTGTTTGACCTCCTGCACACCATATAAAAAAAAAAAAAAATAAATCGATTTTCATAACACTTTTGAAAAAGCTCCAGGGAGCCATAAGGGGGAGGCTAAAGAGCCGCATGCGGCCTAGCTATATATTTTTATTTCAGGTTAAAACAATTTTTTTAGCAAACTTTATAATCCCAATTTTTCC